AAAACAATTTGTAATTATATATATATATCAATTACTTGCCAAAGAGGTCATGGAAGTTTAGACTCCATAAATTGGAGACACACTACATCATTGCGCATCGGTCACCTTTAGCTCCCAAAAAGGCTGATAGTACACTACAATTTGAAGCTGGGTAGACTACCATTCAAGCTATCGATGGGGAGAAAAAACTGTACTTCATAACTAGTGACGTGTATGACGACACTTTCTCACTTTCTCGCAATATTAATATTAAATTACACAAGAATCATAAGCGAAGACAGAGTGATCAAAAATTTCAAAATTAAAATGACATCTAAGTCATTTTTGAGCTGAAAGTATGGAGATATATTGAACAAATATGATTTCGTTTTTTAGCAAATAAAGAAACAATTGTAAATTTACAGTAGTGTTTCTCTCAGAAAAAAAATTACAACTCAGCTTTAATAATTATAATTAAATTATGATTTTGTAATTTCTGTGTTGGCCATTTTCTAATAATAAATTTCTTAAATGCACATTTGAATGACTTGAAATACGTTAAGTAATACCGATTGTTTAGCTTTTATTAACTCACCAAATGCATTAGCTTCATTTCAACACCTGCATAATAAAAGCTTTTAAATTTGCACACATTTTGTGCTTGTTATTTATTTAAAACTAATGTATACTTTCCTTCCTATGCAAACTGAAATTTACTTTGAGAACATTATCAGCGTAGATATGATTTTAACAAAAAAAAATTTGTATCAGATTAACAGGTTTTCTTTAAATAAATAACCCGCATTTCCTTTGCCTCAGTGAAAAAAAAAGTATGGTAAAATGGTCAGAATATGGTACAATTTACCACATTTCTGACTCTATGGTAATACAAGAAACTTTGGTAATTTTTATCGTAGCGTTTTAGTTATAACTTTGGTAAAATTAACAATAAAATATGATTTTATAATGTGTGATAAATGTGGTGAAATTTGGTAACTAAGTCATGTTGCCTTAGAGCGGAGCATGAAAACCATTTATTCGATTATATTCACTTATCATATTTGTATTTTTTGCTAAAGCGAGGTAATAAGAAAAGCGATTTTAAAACCCAGAATTTCGATAAACCATTACCATATGAACAAAACATTACGAAATGAATAGCTTAAATACCGTGTATTATGGTATTATTAGAATTATGTTGTTGCTTTTTTTTATCAGAAATGTTACACAGGGGGGTAATACCATACAGGGGGGTAATTGTACCAGAATATTTCCCTGTGTATGACATGAAATTTGAAATATGAAACTTATATAACCAAGAATTAGCAACTTGCGCATATAATTAATTATCAGTCTTAATATTTAGAATAGAAATGTTTTTAGCATATTTCCTGGAATTTTAAGCACTGAATATAATAATAATTTCCTCAAAATATAAAAATCTGAGCATAAGAAATTCTTTTTTTTAAATTAGGAACATTAAATTTCCGGTAATTTTTCAGTTGATTTCCTATGATTGATCCTCAAATGATTTCCTATTATTATTAAATAATAATATAAACAAAACTTCAATGGTACACAATATAGCAATTTATTTAAAAAAATATATGAATTTCGAGATAGTTTCGTAGCAACAATGTAAACAACAGTAAAAAATTCAACGCGTTGCGCAACTATTACGAATAAATAACTACATTAATAAATGCATCTTATTTCCAATTTGTTTTGTGAAATAAATTATTTTTTAAAAAAAAATTTGCTTTGATTCTTTTTTTATACTCCTTTATTTTTATTCATATTTATTCGTTTGAGAATGTCTTGGATGATTCAAGTAAGTTTTTTTTTTAATCCTTTTTAAATTAATTTAAAAAGTTGTTATCATTGAACGCATGATTTGCGATTTGATCCTTAATAAATTATTGTAACGTTTGAGTAAAGATTGAAGCAATTAATTTAAACAGGTATGATTTTATGCATCTTTTAGATATAAGCAGGTATAGATTTTGGTAAAAATAAGGCATACATAAATGTTTACTTGGTGTCAATATTTGTTATTGAAAATTTTCAAGTATCTTTTGTATTTTTTTATGGAATTTTTTAAAAATTATTTTATAGAATTTTTTTTATAATTTTTTTATTTCATGAATTTTTTTATATGTATTTTTTTTTTAGAATTTTTTTGTATAAATTTGCAAGAATTTTATAAAAAGAGTCAGGAATTTAACTGAAAGAGCAAGGAGTAAAAAATTCTTGTTTGGCATAGCGTTTCATTGAAACATAATTATCAAAAGTTTAATACAAACATGCGTTTTTATATTAAAATAAGTGGAGTGGTATAGCAGATTAAAAAAAAGTTTACATTGTGTCAAACGGTTCACAAACCTTGTCGAAATCTACTGCAACCTATTGCTTTAAGAAAAACAGAGCCAATACATTGAAAATAGCAGCTGAGGTGGTATTTTCAAGGTATTGGTTTTTCAACTTCATATCTTCAACTATTGGACGATTCTTTGATGAAGTCTCAAAAATGAATCTTTAAAACAGTTTTACAAATTAAATTTAAAACGATATTCTTCTGGTGTTGATTAGTTAAGATTTTCTTGGTGAAATTAATCACACAGAAAAGCTTTACTTTATATCTAATTATTTTGTAGCATGATAATAAAACTCATTTTGTTGCAAATGCAATCAAAGGGCAACTTTAAAACAAATTTGACGGAGAAAGAAGAATTTTCATTTGGCAAAAAGTTGCGCATTTTTAAAAGTTCGAATCTCTTCGGCAGTTCAATGAGAATCGGCAGAAGAATTCAATCTTTTCGAATACGTAATTAAATCGGGGATACGTATCTAACGCTACCTTTCGAATACGTAACTAACGCTTGGTTCGGTATGTTGTACCAGAAAAATAACTTATGATCAGATACTCAGATTTAGAAGAGCATCATGTGTACTAAGAATCAGCACATAAGAAGCAAATTGGCAGTCAGGATCTATGCCAACTCAGCCAGTTTTCCTACGTCACACGCCATTTTATTCTTTCGTTCTATCTCAAAACGGGCAAGCAGATATAATCAACATGGATAATATGAGTACACGGATAATACATGGATAAAATACGTAGAAATATCTTAGTTAATAGTACATTACTGTTTATAAATAGTGCAAAAATGCAGCAACAGACCAACCATATCTAAAAAGAGAAAACATTCTTTCTCTTCCCCAGCCCTATTAGTGGTTTAGTAGAAATGTGTGTAAGCCCGTTGTAAGAAGAGTCTCTGCTGCAGTGACCCTTAATGTTGCTTTCCTCTTTATACTCAGGTACCTACTAACCATTGGGAGACCGATTTACATTGCATCTATGGCAGCTAGCCTTCCTTCCCTTTGAACATTCCTTGCTAAAGCGGTATTATTCTGGTTTTGACTGTTTGTGGCCATTTTAGCAAAATTAATCTCTCAATAAAACTTTACTTGTACTTTTATGGTATAACCAAAGAAAATACATCTTGTTGTTTATACAATCAATAAAAAACTTTTAAAACAATTTGTAATAACTAATACAGCTAGAAGGAATTGCTTGCTTAAGGTTAAAAATAGCC